GCAGAAGGAAGAGCCAGCCAGCAGTGGCTTGCACCTCTGCAGCGTCCTTGGCGCCCTGGGGAAGGCCCTTGGTGAGGTGGGCGAGGAGTCGTATCCATGTCTTACATTCTCAGAGCTTTTTCAGATAGACCTGGAACTCTGTTGAGCATTTTTGTGTAAGAACTTGTATTTTGCAAAACGCGCGTGTGTGTTTGTCTCCCAGGATTACCTGCCTGTGTTGCGCCGTATCTTGTTCTCTGCTCCGATCGCCAACTGGGGGAAGAAGCCCTGGCTTGTATTTTTGTATTTCTCACTGCAGAGCTGAATAATTGAAATATTTCATCTTTGTTCCTTTTTTTTCTGGGTCCTTTGTTTTAACGTAACTTTTAGGAGGACGAAGTATTTTATGAAACGGATGAGCTGGTGTTTGGGTCAGAAGCTGCCTGTGCCAGCCGTCCTGTAACCCACACCCCAGGTGATCCCTGCCTCTGCCCCGGGCGAGAGGAGGGCCTGGAGTAACTGAACAGACACCCTAGCAGAAAAGAGACCTTTATTTGTGGTATGGAATCTCTAACTTCCAGGGTCTTGGTGTAGACGTTCACGTGGATCAGGCCCTTCCCCTGGAATATTGCTAAAATATGAAAGCTGTCTTGCTTTCAACCAAATCAGAAAGTGATACTGTAGTGTAGACAGCTGTTTTTTCTGCGTATGACTCATCTGAAGTCGCCCTCACCCAGGAACGGCCTCAGTAGCCAAGTTCGCAACCTGCAGTAGGACCGTAGCTCACCGAGTTGGGTGACCTGACCTCGCTGGTCACGTCCTGTCAGCAGAGGCCTTGGGGTCTGCCCATCCGTCCTGGCTCAAGGAGGGTGGGTGCAAGCACTGAGCACTGTTGTAGGGGCCCTCGGCCATGTGTACCAGAGCACCCAGAGAGGAATTGGGGCCACGCACCGCCACCCCTGGGCTCCTGCCGGCTCCCCAGCTCGAAGCACGCACGTTGCTCCTCTCGGAGGTGCCACACGCCGTGCCGGGAATACCACGGACTGGACACAGCTGCTGCTTAAGTGGCGCCCTTGTTCAATGAGGGGGACGTAGCCTTAGACCAGCGACCAGGCAAGTCTGATGGTGACACACGAGGAAAAAGAATGTAGCTTAGATTGGACTCCTAGGAGCAAAGCCGGAGGCAAGGTTCCTTAAGCAAGTGATTGGCTGAGTTGTACTCAGGAGATGCCTTCGGTGGAAGCAGTCGGCCGGCAAAGAAAAAGCAATGACAGCTTTGACGAAGGCCAACTGCAGCCTGGCCCCACAGGGCTCTGGACCATGATGGCATGGAGACCTTGAGGCTAGGAGCAGGGCCTTTGTCCTCGGGAGTTGGCCAGACAGCCGGGGGCCACAGTTTGGGGCCGTAGGTGGGAGCCTTTGGCAGCTGGGGATGCAGGCCGCCAGCCCGCTGAGAATGGAGAGTAACAGCGGCCACCTGTCCATATTGGGTAACTAGGGGAGCCCATTAGCCTTCACAGCACACGATGAGATGCCACGTTTGCCTGAACCCCACTCCCCGGTGCAGTGGCCAGGTCACCTGAGTCCTGGGCAGTGGGAAGCGGTGTGCTCAAAGCCCACCCCTGCTTCTGGAGGCAGGACGGGCGTAGAAGTCTGAAATCTGGAGTAGTGGGGAATCGTGGCCCCACTCAGTGGTACCCCAGGGAAATGGGGAACTCAGAGGGTCACGGTTTGTGGGGTCCCCTGAAGGAGACCTTAACTTCATCACTGACTCTTCCAGCCCAGGCAAAGTCCCCAAGTGTTGAAGCCTCTACTCACGGGGCCGCCTGAGGCCTGGCAGTGAGGGTCGCCGCCACGGCTCCGGGCGGGGG